GGGCGCCTGTTGGTCATAAAGGGATGTCTCTGATGATGACTATAGGGTGCTTATATGCCAAAGAGGGGCGCCTATGGAGCTAGGGGCGCCTGGGAAACCAGGAAGAAATTTGTATAAGGGTTTTCAGGGGTCATGCGCCGTTTACGACAAATAGATTCTAAGAAAAAAAATCGGAGAGGGGAATAACTTTTAAAAATAGTGCGGACTTTCCGCGCTGTTCGCTTAAGCGGTTACGCCCCTGGCCTGGCCCCTGGGTACATCTGCCCGATCTCAGAAGCTAGATTTGGAGGTCATACTTGAAAGCAGTACGATGAAAAAGTTGGAGGCCCCTGAAAATAGGAGGCCCCCTGGAAAAGGAGGCCCCTCAACAGGGTGGCCCACCCACTTTTCAGGACGTTCCTACGCCCGTGCCCTCAGCAGTCCTTTAAGGATATATACCACTCCCAAATATATATTTTTTCTTGCTACAGTTAAATGATTATTTTATGACAAAAATGATGCCGATTAAAAAACATGTTTATGATTTCTTACTTATAACAGGTATACGAAGAATTATATTCTATCTTCCGTTGGGACTAAATATGGTGGCGGAGGATATTACGCGTTCACCAATCATATTGCGTTGTTAAAAAACAGCTGCACGCTGATTGGCTGACACTGGCCTCTCCGACAGCCGCTTTTTAGATGTCTGCGAAAAAGAGGACGGGGGAGGCGACCACCCCATCCCCCGGCCCGGCGACGGATAAAGGTCCAAATAAAGGCTACTGAACGATGTGGCAGAAGTTTTTTCCGAAACAATCGAATCGACATAGTGGACCTAGTCTTTAACAGGACCGATTGCTATTCCCCACGAAATGTCAGCCCAACGAACCAAACCCACGTAGCTTGGTAACGCGGTAATTAAACGTCAAGCCAACATACATCAGAGCAGCATAGCTTCAACGCAAAGGACTGAAGAAGAGCACGGTCTGTCTGTCGGTAAGAAAGATGGTATCTTAACAGTGCGGCAGATGTTGCGCGCAAAGCAGCATATACCACCACAGTTTTACAGAGGTTTTAGTATACCTAATGTTTTAAAATTGCGGAAGGCGGACGCATGTGGACCGCTCTTCTCGTCGGTCCGCATGTGTCTGATGAGACTTGATTGAACAATGAATCGTGCCTAGCAGAAACAGCAGCCATACAGCCGCTACCCCTGTGTGGGTCCCCATGTGTTTAGTGAGGCGTGACGGTTGAGTGAACCGTGCAGTGCAGATGGAGCAGCCGTACGGCCGCTCCCCAGTGTGGGTCCGCATGTGTTTAGTGAGGCGTGACGGTTGAGCGAACTGTGCAGTGCAGATGGAGCAGCCAAACGGCCTCTTCCCAGTGTGAGCACCTATGCATCTGTTTGGTTAGGTTTGACAGCGAAGCGAAGCGAACCGTGCCGTGCAGGTTGAGCAGCCATATGGCCGCTCCCTCGGGTGGGTAGGCATTTGTTTCATGAGACTTCCCCGTTGAGCGAACAAAGCCCGGCAAGTTGAGCACTGAGCAGCCTTACGGCCGCTCCTTCGTGTGGGTACGCATGTGTTTGCTGAGACTTCCCCGTTCATTGAACTGGGCCTGGCAATGTGAAGAGCCATACGGCCGCTCCCCAGTGTGGGTTCGCATGTGCGTATTGAGGTGTGACCGTCGAGTGAACCGTGACTTGCAGATGGAGCAACCGAAAGGTCGCTCTCCAGTGTGGGTCCGCATATGTGTCGTAAGGTTTTGCTGTTTAGCAAAGCGTGCTGTGCAAACGGAGCAACCGTAAGGCCGCTCCCCCGTGTGGGTACGTATATGTTTGCTGAGATCTTCCCGCCTAGCGAACTGAGCCTGGCAATGTGAACATCCGTGCGGCCGCTCCCCAGTGTGGGTCCGCATGTGTCTGGTGAGATTTGACCGTTCAGTGAACCGTTCCTTGCAGATGGAGCAGCCGTATGGCCGCTCCCTAGTGTGAATCCGCATGTGGTTGTTTAGGATTGCTCGAACAGCGAACCGTGCAGTGCAGATGGAGCAGCCGTACGGCCGCTCCCCAGTGTGAGTCCGCATGTGTATAGTGAGGGTGGACGGTTTGGTGTACCGTGCCGTACAGATAGAGCAGCCGTATGGCCGCTCCCCAGTGTGGGTTCGCACGTGTGTGGTGAGGTTGGACCGTCCTGTGAACCGGGCCGTGCAGATAGAGCAGCCGTATGGCCGCTCCCCAGTGTGGGTCCGCATGTGATCGGTGAGACCTGACCGCCTAGAGAACCGTGCCTTGCAAATGGAGCAGCCGTATGGCCGTTCCCCTGTGTGAGTTCTGCGGTGGTTTTTCATACAGTCGGACCTGTCGGTCGAGTATTGACACCACTCGCACTTCAATCTGCCGTTCCTGCCCATATGGCCGTGACTTCTCTTCACGTGTCCGTCCAGACAATGTTTTCCCAAACATCTGAAGCCGCATTGGGGGCATTGGACCGAGCCACTGATGCCTGAAGAATACACAGAAAGAAGGCCATTAAAAAAACGTTTCATGCTAAAGCAGGTCGCATTATGCGACCTGCTTTAGCATAGAACGACCTCACCCGGTTAGGTCGCAAGCCGAAATGTCAGTTCAAGTTACGAACCGAGCCCATGTAAGTTGGCATATAAACGTCGTGCCTGCATACGTCAAAGTAGCAGAACTTCTCAACGAACCGGGCAAAAAAAACAGTCTGCTGTCGGCAGAAGGGTAAATGGCATTACCAGCGTCACTTCGATGGACACCATAGCTCTCGGAGCCGCAAACGATGAACTGACCTGAAGATGAAGGTCCGGCCGGAGAGGAAGTCACAGACTCCCCAGATGTCTCCGAGTGGACGGTCAGTTCCCGGGCCGAGTCGTCTCCGTAGTACACCAGCAGCTCAGAGCCCCGCGGAATGGCCTTTGACGTCCTGCATAGGGAGATAAATATAGCATTATTGATGAAAGCTTGATTGGTGTAGTCACAACACTTACACTGTCATTAATAACTTCGACGAATCCATTAAAGAAAAATATGGGCCGCAGGACGAACCGCGCATAAAATACGTAACGCAGTTAGGAAGAATAGATCCGTGGATTCCAAGACTACAACGCACCTGAAGTATACCTGGCCCCGGTACTGGAAGGCCACTAGGTTTTGTTCTTCCTCCGAGCGGGCACAGTTGACCCTTCTGAGCCAGTTGCTGCAGCTCGGGTCTTCGGCATTCACCGAGTGATGAACGCGTTTACACTTCTTGATCTGTGGTACCAAACAAAAACGTAGTTCATCAATTCAAAGAGCAAAGTAAAAATATGGCATGTGCAATGAAAACATTATAAAAATTTTATGTTGCACATTGGTCTAAAATATTTTTTATATAGTTTTATCGTTGAAGTAAGTCTTAAGTTAAAACATGCGTTTTTACCTGCAAAACAAAACAACTGAACTGACCTGCCATCTGTACCCGGTTGTTCGACTTCGGGCCTGATCCTGCTCGGTGGTCAAGGTGCCCTCGTAAGGACCGAGTCTTTGGCGCGCAGGTATGTCCTTCTCCGCCCAAACTCCTGGAATCAAATAAATACAAGCCTTCACCTCAACTAAATGGACACAACATGTACTGATACATGGGACATGAAATCATACAACACAAGCAACCATCACCAAATGATGCATCAAATCAAACGTCCAGCAGCAGTTGTTACGTATCGCCATTTGTCTTGCCTCATTAACTTACCGGTGCCAGACGCTGGATTTGTCGACGGACCAGAGCTGAGAGAAGGCGGGAGAGTCTTGGCGTCCCTGTCGACATCTCCGATACCGGGTCATGCCTGGAATGTTCAGCGCATGTGGGGCGCAATGTCGACAATACAATCAATGCATTGAGATTATCTTAAGCCTGTTTGTAAATCAGACGGGTATGTTTTGTGGATATAGATCATGAACCTGTTCTTGACCACGTACCCATGACAGTATTACCTGCTAACAAGACAGAAGCAAAGCAATAATATAACTATGAGCATGGATTAGAGTAAATACTTCATCCATGCTATGAGGAAGAGGATTACGTAATTGTGAAAGAAATAGATCATTTTTACATGAAGCTCATGTCGTTCCGTCACTAGGGCATCAGGCACAATTGGTCATATTATTTAATGTCTAAATAAGAGAGGAGTCATGTGTAAAGAATACGAATCAGACCAGTATGGACCAGTCCTTACCTTGGTATCGTGTATGATCTTTAGCAGTCCATGGACGGGACATTCACCGTCCCAATCGCGGCAGCACACGTCACAAACTGTCAGAAAGAAGGGCGAAAAAAGTATTAGCGATTTGATGAAGAGCAGACCAAGGTTTAATCGTTCAAGGTTCCGTTAGACGGAAACAATGCGTCTGTATTCGGTTTAATTTGTCTGCAATATGAGTGCTTGTCGTGTACATTCGCCCGTTGATGAGGACAAGGTAGCTGACTAAAAATGGGAGAAATACTCACATATGTTACTATCATCGAGACCATCCACATCTCGGTAGTTAATGACGAGACGTTGACTCTTGATGAACACTCCTTCAGCAAAAACTGCAATAAATTCAACAGGGTATCAATAATTCGGTGGCATTTCGGTAACGCGTCAGTTCAATAGAGTGCATGCAATTGAACATAAGAATGGTTCGATAATGTCATTCAATCACTTTGTAGAGTACGAAACCAAAAATAAAAATAAAACTTACATTTTCTCTGAAAAGGGCACAAAAGTAAGACCGAGGATATCACGATAAACCCATTGCTTACAGTCTCTTCACAGTTATATAAACTTACCTTCAGTAGAGTCTCGAATGGCAGACGAACAACCAAGTAACAGACTCCTTTTTGCATTGAAGATGAAACAGGCACTGAAAGAACAGACAAATGCAAATATTATTAGAATTCATCAAGGATAATATATCATTGTCTACTATGTCAAATAACAACTAAAATTTCAACAACAGCACTGAATCATGCCCTAACCTGTCCCGGTCCACCTCAGTGAACCCGATGAAGTCCTCAGACGGTGACGGTGATCGAGGTCGGTACTTTTCCTCCTTCACTAAAGAATGCAGAGCGCGGTCCGAGAAAGGATCGTCGTCCGACACCGAGGGAGACGACGGCCGCTCAACCTAGACCGGATCAACAGACAAACAATATTCAATGAAACATGAGATGTTTATCCTCCACAGATATACAAATTGGAACACATTATGCGCTGTCATTCCCTTTTATTAACCTCGCAGCTAAAAACCAATGAGAGGTGAGCACCATGCATTTGAACACGTACCCTTGGTGAAGTGACTTCAATCTTTATCTCCTCCTTCACAACTGGCCGAAAGTCGCTCTCAGAGCCACTGTCTATGGGAGTGCAGTTCCTCGGCCTCTGAGACTTCCTCACACTCTGTGACGGACCCCATTCCCCGTCGCTGTCAGCGGAGCCCTCCAGAGACCACTTTGGTCCTTTTGGTGACATTGATGCAGCCCGCATGAGCGGCAGTAGTTCAGACACTGGTGGATCTGGAATAGGGTCCAATGTCCTTTGTCAGTTCACATTGAGTTGACTAAATGAAAGCACAAAACGGAGAAGTTATGTAGCAAGAAAATACAAAGTTGCAGAGTTATCACCACCAATAATTGAATATTCCTTATGGAATTAATACCCATAAAACATCTCTCAATAATGACAATGACATGGTTTGCCAACAAGAATGCAGCAGGAAAATAATGGAGGTGCTCCGATACCTAGCATTTAGATCCTGGCTTTATATGAAAAAACTGTAGCCTCAAATGATCTCTGATGACCTTTCTAGAGGGCAGGCTAGCAGCCAAAGACACCTTTGTTGTCACAAGTTGTCCAAATCATTGCGATTCTGAAATATTTTTATTGTTCTTCCTGACCTGGCAGGCTGACATGACCTCAACCTGGGGTCAAAAATTTCATATGCTGTCAAAAAATGGTGAACTACAAGCTACTCCAAGCGGTGAGGCGCTTCGCACCAGTTTTTTATTCACACGCAAAAAACTGGACAGGTGCAGTAACAAAACTGGTAACAAATGCCCCCCCCCCCCACTGAGGCAAAGGTTAAAACTGGGTAAATACTATTAGAATTGTCTCATGGCGACCTACATGATGGTACTTTCCATTTCCCACTGTTGAAGCTTCTTCCTTACCCATGGATGCCTAGACAAAATCATTGCGTCAGGTTTGAGGTTAGGTAAGGTCTGGTTAGGTATGTTTCTTTAATATTTTGGAGACACCTACCTTACCATCATATCTGGATTTAGCACATTAAAGGGACCCTCCCACCTTCAAAAAAGTTAATGAATTGGCATAGAAGTGATGTCCCTTGGTTCGGAAATATCAAAAATGAATATGTACCAAATTTCACCGTAAAATATTCACTGGATTTCAAGATATTAGGCTTTTACTTTTGTTTACTTTTTGGAATCTCTGCTGTTCCTAGCGACTATTTGAAAGTGCGGCACTTGTTGCGCTTAAAACAGCATATTCCACAACGTGCTACCAAATGTTTTAGTAAAACATTTAAAATCATTAGATCTCCGCTGACATCACAAATTCTAAGGGGGCATTCCGGTGCAGTCGCCCCTTAGAATCCGAAAACTGCAAGCTTGAAATTCCATATCTCCAAATTAAAGCATTTTTCGATGTTGTTGCGAGTGCCCAAACCGGTACTGAAGGCCATGGCCACCAATTTGGCTATCTCAACTCAAAACTAATGTTAAGGTGGGATGGTCACTTTAAAAATGGAAGAATACGTATTACGTAAGTAGGTACTACTTACTTTTGAAAAGTGAGTCGATGCTATTATACCGAACTTACCATGCTGATCCATCTCAATCTCCAAATCAAGATCCCTCGTTTTCTGTGCGAGTCCGCTCAGAATGAGAATTCTATAGATGGCCTTGATGAAAATAAGTTGAAGTCAAATACCGGGGTTACATGAGCGATCCGTTCCAAATACGCACTACGCTAATGCGCATCAGCTCCCCACAAACGTATCTACGGCACCGGTTACATGAGACTAATTCGTTTTATCTACGTCAAACGGATCTTGTTTGGCTCACCCGGGCTGACTCCTCGACGGCCGGTAATGCGCATCACAAACGGAATAGGATTAGCGTACAGTCATGGCGCAGTTGCGGCATTTACCGAGACGACTGAACTAACCCCGCGTTCGATGTCTCTCGGACGGCGAAGATTCTACGCCGTCCGGCCAATCACGTTTCATAACCGCAGCCGAGCCCCCGCTGACCTTGGACGTTATTGGCCGGACGGCAAAGAATCTTTGCCGTCCGGGAGACATCGAACGCCGCCTAAATTTTAAATACTTTTATCATTTGATAGGCTCAAAAACATTTAAAATTAACATGAAATCAAAAAATGAAAACAAAGTTTTCTTGTTTTAAGTCAGTGGGCACTGATTCGCCATGCAGCGACAGCAGGGTGGTCAGAAAAAATTATCTATCAAAATATTTCATTCATTTTATTTCACATGCAAAGACTAAACCAAAATACCAACATTTTTTTGCTATTTTCTACGAGGCAGCCAACAAAAAAAATGCTTATTATTTTGCATTTTGACGCTTCCAGTCAGCAAAGGATAGTTCTTGTGAAATACGGCCCGAATCGAATAACTCGGTTACATGAGCGATCCGTTCCAAATACGCACTAGGCTAATTCGCATCAGCTCCCCAAGAACGCATTCAGTGCACCGACTACATGAGCAAATTCGTATCAGTGACGTCAAACGGGTCTAGTTTGGCTCTCGGCCCGATGCGCATTACAAACGGAATAGCATACAAATGTGGCGCACTTCCGTAGCAATAGAGGTGACTGAATTAAAAATTTAATATCTCATGTCTTTTTTGCATTTAATCTGCTCAGAACATCCTCAATTAACTTAACAAAAAAAAGTTGAACATAAAGTTGTCTTGCTTTGACTCATTGGGCACTTGCCTCTCTTGATTCGTCTGTAGTGCTGTCAGAAAAATGTTTCAACTGAAAGTACTTTGATATTTTCTTTTTGGTTTTCACTATATTTATTGACAAAATACCGACATATTTTTTTAATTATTATTTCAAAAGAAGCAAATGAAAAAAAACCTATTATTTTGCATTTTAATGTTTCTTTTTGGAAAGAAATAGTTCCTGTAATACGTATCTTGGTCCTATTCGCTTCTAAGCCTCTTTCTCAGCGGATTTTGTTTGGACCGCCGATTCGTATTAGCAGGTGCATACATGAGTCGGTAGTACGCTCCTGATTCGCATTAGCGGTGAATCCGATCGTGATACGTATTTGCTTTGCTCATGTAACCGCGGATCGGATCGCCGATTCGTACTAGCAGGTGGCTCCATGAGTCGGTAATAATAATAATAATAATGCCATTTATTTCACACCATCATTGGTGCATACAGGAAGTTCCAGTGACAGCTAACACAATCATTACATCCATACATACACACATACACACACACATCAAGATATTCATATTCAGAACGTTAAAATCAGTGCAAGCACGCACATCGATCAAGCTCGTCTCAGCTTCATACATTGTCTGTAATGACACTTCTCACATGAGCATGATATGTCGGATTTTGATTGACCATTCTTTTCAGACTACCTAAGAAAATATTCAAAATGTCTGCACGAGAGGAGGAAGACAAGTCTAAGGCCATGATATCATATTCACGTCGGATGGCAAGATGCACCCTCGCTGCTATACCATTTTGTCCAATGTCACTGTCAAGCAAGCTCTTTATCAACACATTTTCACTACTGTGGAGTATTTTATAGAACAGAAGCTGTCTGCTTGCTACTAGCATAGGACAGGGGAGAATTTGAAGAGCTAGACAGAGAGGATGGTTCCTGAATGATTTCGGTAGTTTGACTATTTTCTTCACACATGAGTGATACGCCACACACAGTTCACGAAACACATTTTTTTCTTTACATGGATCCCACAGCTCACACCCATACAGGTTCGCGCAGTAGGACTTAAACAGCTTTATCAGAATTTCTCTTTTAGCATGGCCTACCAACGCGCAAAGCATATTAGCACGATAGTATAGTGATCTCTTCAGCTTACGCATGTCGCTGCTATCATTCAGTTTGCTGTTAATCACATGCCCAAGATACTTAAACTCATCAACCCATGTTAGGTTGGTACCTGACAACCTCACAATTGGGGGTTGTGACATGGACAGATGCGAAGATGCACTTGGACGCTGGGGATTAAACACCATGCATACACTCTTCTTAGCATTGAATTGTATGTCCCTGGACACAGCAAACGATTCACATATTTTGACAAGCTCTTGTAAACCACCCCTTGATGGCGACAAGACAACAATATCGTCGGCATACGCCAGCACATTTACAGCACAGCCACCAACGTGACATCCTATGCCAGTAGATTGTAACATTTGAAGGAGATCGTCCAGGTATACATTGAACAATAATGGTGACAAGCATCCACCCTGGCGAACACCGTTTGCGACCGGAAATGAATAGGATGTGCTATTTGCCCATTTGACGCTCATCATCTGGGACCTGTACCAATGAGTTAACAGTTTCAGATATGGTAACGGAACACCCCTTTCTTGGAGTATTTGAAAGAGCTTAGCGTGATTCACTCTATCGAATGCTTTGCTTGCATCAAGGAAGCAGGCGTACACTGGGCTTCCTTGTCTAGTGTAATAGTGAACTGTTTCTTTAAGAACATATGTAGCATGCGTTGTTGAATGATTAGACTTAAATCCAAATTGCGCATCATTTGTTCTTAATAGCGGTAGAAGCCTGTCAACCAGAATAAGTTCCAAGACTTTTGATAAAGTTGTGGATAAAGCGATTGCCCTGTAGTTCGATTTATCATCAAGTGCACCACTTTTATCCTTAATTAATGGCGTCAACAGTGAATAAATGAGATCATCAGGGACGTTTCCATGATTCAGTATGCTGTTAAATATGGAGACTATGACATATAAGTTATCAGCTTCAAGATAACGCAGATGTTCACTGTACATCTGATCCCAGCCTGCAGCTTTTCCGCCTTTCATTTTGGCTATAGCACTCGACACTTCCTCCCTGGTAATGGGGAGAACATCAGGCAGCCGATCATTGATGATATGGTTGATAATTGCTTGACCACTGCTGCAGCTATCGTCATTTAGAACAGTTTTGAAATGATCGGCCCACATATTCGCTACGTTCGCAGCTCCTGTGACACCCCCAAAGCTAGGTGGAAAGGAACTTTGACCACCAAGCATCTGTCTCACGTGTACCCAGAATTGATTATGCTCTCTGTTCAACAAAGACAAAGCAAGCTTATTTACATTGAAGATATCTCTTTCTCTCCTACATCTCCGCAAAGCATATTTGAAAGCCAGCCTTGATTCCCTCATTTGAGCTGACAGAGGACCGTCTCTGGGAGAGCCAGCAGACCTCCAACGAAAAAAAGAATTACGAGCTGTATTGTGCTTGATTTTCACAGTCTCATTCCATTTTGGAAAAGGCCTGGCGTGCTTTTGGTGAACTTGCTTAGAACCAAAGCATTGCTGGCCGCTCAAAATGACAGCTTCAGTGAACGCCTTGCAGCAATGGGATAGTTTATGAATATGGGAATCATCCCTACAATCCCCAACGCAAGTGCCAGTGAGATCATCAACTTCAGCACAGAACGTTCTCAACTTTAGACGTACTGACTGATTATAAAGTTGAACTTGTTCTACGTTTACAGATCTCCAACAAATTTTTCGATAGGAGGGAACCTCTGGGGCCAAAGTGACAAGCTCAACGCTCTGAAAGTTAAATTCAACCACCAGAGGCATATGATCTGTGAAACAAACGTCATACTTCACCAATATGTTGTGGACATTATCATGCAGGCTGGGACTACAAATGCAATGATCGAGCCAGGATACAGTTCCATGGGCAGCACTGACATAGGTGAATGTATTCCCCGATAAACCCAAATTTTTAACGTCAGAAACGACAGGTTCATTTTCCTCACAAAACTCCATCAATTCACCAAAAAAACGAGAGCCATAACTGTTGGCATTGAAATCACCTATGATACCAATGTGACTTGTTCTGGAGCGCGCAACATCAATATTGTAAGCTAACTGTCCCAATGACATGCAAAACTGGTCATGACTTTCTGAGTCTCTGTAGTCAGTTGGTAAATACACATTGAAAAGACATACGGCGCCAATGGTTGTGGCAATATTAATCTCCATGATGCGATCATTTATCACCTTAACCTGTATACTAGATTGCAATGACTTTTTCCATAAGATTGCCACCCCACCAAACGGTCTGCCAGCTAAGAGAGCAGTAGATGAGTCAATAGCGGAAACACCCATACCAAGAAAATCTTGGTGAATGTTGTTCAACATGAAAAGTTCAAATTTAGACAGCCACGTCTCTTGTAAGAAAACTAAATCATTCATAGAGCAAAGTTCAGCTACATCGGAAAGGGAATTTTTCAATGAATTACAATTGAAGGAGCAGGCTTTGATCATGTAGTAGTCCTAAGAACTGCAGTATGTACCTTCATCGGCCACATGCCACCATGTTGCCCACGCTCGTGCTGCGGGACAGAGGACTCAAGTTGGTACGTTTCCTAGACAAACCCCTCATATTTCTGTTCCCCTGTGTCCCCCTCGGCTGAAAGAATCGCTTGACAGAAACATGTTTGGGCCACTTCTCGGAGAGAAGCACTAACCTGGCTGTGTCAGCAGGGACGGACACCTTATACCCTCTGTAACCGTAGGCTGCAGCACAGTGGGGAATCTCTTCCACTGCTGCCTTCCCAGCACCCTGTAGAATCCAATTGACGTGCATTTCAACAGCGTCACTGGTCGTGGAAGAATCCAGGCGCCCCACAAAAAGGTCCAGCGTCTTTGGAGGAGGCGCGACACCTCTTAGCAGGGTGGAAGAGCCGGTTCCTTTCACCTCCATCTTCTGACGGCTGCTCTTTCTCCTTGTCCCTGTCACTGTAGTGAATCCCTCGTCGTCAGTAGTATGGTTCTGCGGCCGCTGCTGTTCCTGTTGCGCAGGTGCCGTGCGCAGCGGCAACGGCACTGACTCTGAAGGCAACAGCTGGTTTGACGGCTGGTGCAGTGGCTGACTCGGGTGCTGCTGTCTCGATTTCATCTGTGGTAGAGCCTTCTGTTGGTAATGCGTTCCTAATTCGAATTAGCGGCAAAATACGTATTTACTGTGCTCATGTAACCCCGATAAAAGTTGAAGTGCGCATCACTAGCATCACACGACGCGTGCTCTCACTTTTTTTTTTAGTGGCCCTAACTTACGTTACCGGCGTGGTAGCAGCAAAACTGCGTCATAAATGTCGAAATCCAAGGCTCAGGGTCATCGAAATCAACGTCCATCAATTGAGCAGCAGATTGATATTCGCGAATATCAAACTGAAAATTCGATATTCGGACGGGGAACGCAATAACTCAAGAACCAGTGAACCGATTTTGATGAAAAGGCCCTCATTCGATTCCTCGTTCCTTATTGCCAGGTTGACGGCGATTTCCAGGTCACTAGGTCATGACCTTGAAGGTCAAGGTCAAGGTCAAAGGACGGGGAACGCTCTACCGATTTACATGCGGTAATTTTTGTAGCGGGTAGCTTCATTCCTTCTACTAAGTATTGGACTATTCCCGATGCATGTGGGTGACCCCTTATGCACGTGCCACGTGCAAAACGAAGGGGTATCAGTTTTGTAATAGTTGCAATATCTCGGTAACTACTTGGCCGATTGCGCTTGAAGTTGGCATGTAGGTAGGCACCCACTAGGCAATGCATATCCATTATCCATGTGCCAGAGTTGGGGTGCTGCTGCACGTGCGCACGTGCAGGGGTCGATTCCAGATCTCGAGAACGGCAGGACCGATTGCGCTCAAATTTGGTACGCAGTTAGGGACCGGTTAGTAGGGTGCCGTGCAAAAGTCACTTGGGACCCATTTTGCACGTGCACACGTGCAGGGTGCCGCTTCCAGATCTCGAGAACAGCTGGGCCGATCATGTCCTCAAATTTGGCAAATCGCTGGAGACCGGTTAGTAGGGTGCTGTGCACACGTCAGTTGGAGATACCCCCTCACAATTTCGCATGTGCAAGGCCCACCCTCTCGCTCGCTCCGTTAGTCGCCCCAAAAGGCGTTATACTGGTATTGTAAGCTTTACATGCCACGCCGATCTCCTTTCGGCCTTCGCCTTGTCGACAAAGGCCGCGCAGAAATGCTACGAATAAAGGAATGAGTGGTGGTCACGAAAAATGTATTGTCCCTCAAAGTAGCTGGACATTATTCACAAATCACAGCGCTACGACACTGTACCAAATAGCGACACTCCTTAACTCCTATGTGGAGGCGGATAGTTAAGAACACAACTACTGAATCACCGTGTGTTAACATAAAGAAACAAGATGTGACACTCACACGGGTAGCCAAGAAGCTCACAAACGAGAACCACAGCTACACCTTTTTACGACTAAATATAGACATAGTGCACGCAGCTCAATAATAGTGCAACCGATTGCGACAAATCGCCATTGACAGACTATGGCATACTGTCGAAATCGCCCCCTTTTATTACTGAAATGTGCGCACTGCCGCCCTAAATTGGGCGTAAAAAGCTGAATAACACTAATATATCAAACGTATGACGACAGCCGGTCATGCACTTGTCGGCATATTTCAGCATTGCATTTCGCCAACCAAGCCATTTACCGCATCAGTCAAACCTGTGTAATTCTCAAAACTGTGTACCAGTTAAAATCGAGTTTTTGCGTCAAACTGCTGAACCATTAGACAGTAGTCGCAGCAGTGCTGCCAGCCTTCGTGTGGGTCTGCATGTGTCTGATAAGCTTTGCCCGTTGAGCGAACCGGGCCTGGCAGTGTGAGCAGCCGTACGGCCGCTCCCCCGTGTGAGTACGCATGTGTAAGGTGAGACTTGTCCCTTGAGTGAACCGTGCCTTGCAGATAGAGCAGCCGTACGGCCGCTCCCCAGTGTGTGTCCGCATGTGTGCCTTGAGGTGTCCCCGTTCAGCGAACCGTACCGTGCAGATGGAGCAGCCGAACGGTCGCTCCCCAGTGTGAGTCATCATGTGTCTGGTGAGGTGTGATCGATCAATGAACCGTGCAGTGCATATAGAGCAGCCGTACGGCCTCTCCCCAGTGTGGGTCCGCATGTGTGTAGTGAGGTGTGACCGGTTAGCGAACCGGGCCTGGCAGTGTGAGCAGCCGTACGGCCGCTCCCCCGTGTGGGTCCTCATGTGTTTGATGAGATTCCCTCGTCGAGCGAACCGTGCCATGCAGATGGAGCAGCCGTACGGCCGCTCCCCTGTGTGGATACGCATGTGCGTGATGAGGTGTGACCGTTGAGCGAACCGTGCAGTGCATATAGAGCAGCCGTGCGGCCTCTCCCCAGTGTGGGTTCGCACGTGCTTGGTGAAGGTGGACCGTTCAGTGAACCGGGCCGAGCAGATAGAGCAGCCGTATGGCTGCTCCCCAGTGTGGATCCGCATGTGATTTTTAAGGCTTGATCGAACAGTGAACCGTGCAGTGCACATGGAGCAGCCGTGCGGCCGCTCCCCAGTGTGGGTCTGCATGTGTCTGGTGAGGTGTGACCGGTCAGGAAATCGTACAGAGCAGATGGAGCAGCCGTACGACCGATCCTCAGTGTGGGTTCGCAGGTGTCTGGTGAGGTGTGACCGTCGAGTGAACCGTGCCGGGCAGATGGAGCAGCCGTGCGGCCGCTCTCCAGTGTGGGTCTGCATGTGTTCGTTAAGGTGTGACCGGTTAGCGAACCGCACCGTGCAGATGGAGCAGTATTGCGACCTATCCCCAGTGTGAGTCCTTCGGCAACGTTTCATGTTTGTGGGCTTGTCGGTCGAGTATTGATACCACTCGCACTTGAAGCTGCCGCTCCTGTCGATGTGACCGTGACTTGCCTTCACGTGTCCGTCCAGACGTTGCTTTCCCCAGCATCGGAAGTCGCAGTGGGGACATTGCACCGAACCACTTATGCCTGAAGAATACACAGAAAAAAGAAAGGCCCTTAAACAAGTTGCATGCCAAAGCAGGTCACACATACACTGGAACAATCACGACGCCCAGAGATGACCCACGCAGCTCGTGGTCGCGTTTCCATGCCACTTTGGTGAGCGTCGTGGGCGATAGCGGTAATGTTGACGCGACAAGCCATCAGCGCCCATGAGTTGATCCGTGTATCGTTCGAAATACAGCCTTCAGAAACGGAACGCTGAGCTCGTTAAGAGAATATTTCACTTGCCGTTTATTAACTCGCGCATGAACAGAACTCCGAGCCAACTTATCTGTGAAGGAAAGGGCTTACGAGTATTTGAAAACACCGAAGAATCAAAATTTTAAAGGTAACGAGTAACGAGACGAAAAAACGCAATCAATTATTTCCCTCACCAATCTCACTTTAGTTGGCAAAGCTCCTCCGTGGCATATACACCACGACCTAGTCAAGACCACGACCTAGATTATATATATATATATATATATATATATATATATATATATATATATATATATATATATATATATATATATAT